GAAATATATCAATGTAATGCTACTTGTTTGTGTCAATGGCATGACAGGAGACAGTCAAGATGAATAGTGTTTCAATAGAAGAACAACTTAACAACAACTTTAGCAACTTTAACAACCACAACATTGCACATACCTGCACAGAATGTGAAGTTGTTGGTGATCAATATTTATTTTTGTGATGGACCAGCCTGGACTTGGGAACTGGAATAGCTTTCAGCCCTGAAAATGTATTATAGTGCTAAATAGTATATGACATAAAATGATGTAAAAATATAAAAATAATATATAAATAATATTATAATATTTATTCTAGTATTTCAGGGCTATGTATGTCACTTGACAGCATTAAAAAAGTGAAATTAAATGTTTAATAATTTTTTTAAAAAGTGGTCAACCAAACGGTTGATCTGTCACTTTATGGTGCTTCTGCTAACATAACCTAAATGTTATTAAAATTGATTATTTGCCATTGAATCAAACCACTAGACCCATTTTGTTTATCCATTGCTGTTGATAAATCACATTAAATGTTAGCACAGCAAGAATATGCTGAAATCAGTTCCTCAGTACGTCATTTTTGTAACTTTCTGAGTTAATATTAGTAAATATTGTAAAAATCAAGAATAACATGTGGAAATCACAAATATTACAACTGATTACCTTTTAATCAAATTACAGTAGCTGGTAAATTAATATTACTAAGTTGACAAAATTATATTATAATTTCATGTTTAACAAGTACGATATTGATGCTAAACAATTATATGGCTAAAAATCACATGGTCCTGTGTCATGATACTCATGATACCATCCACCTTCAACCACATTGTGTTTGAGGTCATGGTTTCATATGAAGCCACAAGGGCTGGCACTCTCCATCAGTATATTGTTCAGCCAAGCAAGTTCATCTGGCATCATCCACGACTTGCTGCTGTATCAAGGGGGATTGACATTCTTCAATGCTCCCCTCAGTGAAAAGGAACAGAAGCTACCTCTAGGGGCCAAAGTTGTAAAAAACAAAACAAAAAAACACACTATGCAACCCCACAAAAGAACCTCAGCTCTTCACAAGTTTCAGCTTGGGCCAGAACTTGCACACCTCCTTGGGTGTCAGGTGCATTGGTACTGTATGACCAAACTGCACCGGTGGAGCTCCCCTAATAGCAGACAAAGACCTGATGAAGAAGGGCCATGGAGCCTGTAATCACAGGCTCCATGGCCCTTGACATCCTTGACTTGAATACCTGGTCTATGAGAGGGACTGTGCCCTACTGGACCAGAAACCGATGGCTCTCAAAAGGTTTCCACCTGGCTGTGTCTGAACCAAGTTAACAAGCCAGCATCTAGAGTTGGACAACCATGATTCAGCTCTCCAGGATTTGTTGCTAATGTGTTGGTGCTGTTATGACAGCAGTACAGCTTCCAACACTATATTATTGAGGTGGACAAAATGTTATGTGTGATCAGTGTACAGTACTGTGTAAAAGTCTTGAGAAACCACTCTATTTTTGCTTGGAAAATGGGAAATAGCTGGTGATTCATTGGAAAACATGCAAAGTTCCTATAAGTTGATATTTGGTATGACCACCTTTATTCTTTAACAGAGTGTAAAGTCTCTTAGTCTCTCTCCTCTGCAGCTCACCTGGGATTACAGACCTCAAACCAGGCAGTAGAACTATCAGTGCTGATGAAGATGCTCCAATATCAAGAGAACGATAACCACTGCTGATGAAAAACTACTAGCTGATTTGTAAAACATGTCCTTATAAGACTTACACAAAAACAAAAAGTAATCATTTCTGTCTTCACATTAATCAGAGCGAGCAAGAAAAGTCAGAGTAATGAGATGGACATTAAAATTAAAACAAATCAAAAACAACTGCATATAGCTGCCACACAACATAGTGCCAAGCAACATAAGGATTGACCTGATGAACTTAGGAGAGATAATGTTTCATTTAGTGATCTGAAATGTTTGTTTTACCTTCTGAATGTGAGACAAACTACATCACCACATTAAATGTTCTGAAAGCACCACTCATTGCCATTTATCCTGTAGTTGAAAGTTTTCCTTATGGAGAGGGAAAATGTGGCTTGTCATTAAATATTACCATCTTTTAAACTATATAATGTTTGATGCTGGGAAAACTTAGAGGCAGTGGAGCATGTCCTGCTAGGCTGCCACTAGACTGCAGCTGTGGCTCTAGTGACAAGAAAAATTAAATATATTTTATTAAACCCACAGTCACTTAAACATAAGTTTGAGAGAAAAATTCTCAACTGAAGACAAATAGTCCCTCTGGTTGTTTTTCTTAAATGTTGTTTTTTTTATTTGCTCTGTTGAAGTTAATAATTTTTGCTCTGACTGCTGGACTATCAGTGTTAAATTCAAAAACATTAAAATATACTGGTGAGAACACACTTACATATATGGATGAGCTACAGTATAATTAGAGAAACTTTTAAACTTACAACAACTAAAATGCAATTATTGAGTATTTTTAGTATTTACATTTACAAGTATTCCAACTATCAATCAATCTAAACCTTGCCAGACTGAGAATTGAAATATCAGCTAGCAAAGATTGGTCATTTTTGTTTGTTTGTTTGTTTTTTTCAGGGTCTTTTTTGATGAGAAGATCACTAATTCAGTGTCACATCTGCAGCTTTTAGCATGACTGTCATCATTCTTTGCTTATATGTATGATCAATTTAGATGGATGCAACAGCAGGAACTACTTCAAAGTTGTTGGTTTTTTGTTTTGTTTTTGCTTTGTTTTTACCTGAGACAGGAGGCCAGAGTACCCAAAGAGAATCCACACAGACATATGGAGAACATGCAAACTCCACACTGTTGACATGAAAGTGGAAATCCAAAAAAAGGAAAAGAAAACAGAAAGTAAATATTAATGAAATCTCTAGGTCTGTAACAGTTTGATAGTTAGATTTCCTGGTGTGCTTCGGATCATTGATCAACAGGATGATCATTAATCAAGCTAAGGTTTGACCCAATTTCAGTCAAGCTTTAGCTGTCAGGAAGATGGCCTCACAATTTACAATATTTAAGTATACAGAGGAATTCACGGCTGACTCAGTGACTGCAAGGTACCAAGGTCTTGTGGTCACAAAACAAGCCCAAATCGTCACTTCTCCACCTTAACAGCTCGTATGAGGTATTTGTAAGTTGTGTTTGTTTTTTGGTTTGGTCAATTGTACTCTGCAACTGTGCAAATCTAAGCCATACCATGTTCTTGTTAGAGAAAGAAAACTTTCTCTTGGCAACCCTTCTGAACAAACCATCTTTTGTGTCTTTTTCAAACTGTACAGTGTGCACAAGGTGCGATAATAATAAAGCCCCACTTGTAACTGTAATTTGGCCTCCAAAACCCCAAAGCTCACATTGAAAATCTAAACATTATCCTGTGGACTCTTCACTGATAAATATAGTAGAAATAGCATGATACTTAGTTTATTGTAGTAAAGCATACACACACAGTGGTCCCGCATAGGATCTGCATTAGCGTATTTCATTTGCAATCTTTCAGAGGCATTTAGAGCACAGGTCAAGCTGGTCATCTTCTCTCCAGTTTGCAAATATTTCCCCCCTGAGTTTTCTGTCTATGTTATTTTATGCCTCAGCAACTAAATGGCCTCACAGTTGATCTGCTGCAGGTTAAAAAAAAAAACTCTCAATAAGTGGTTTTAACAGAGGAAAGGGGCTACCAGAGAAGAAGTACTGTGTGAAGCCCCTGTAGCCTCTATGCCCCTGCCCACCACTCACTCTATGATTCCTCCTCTTGTGCAGCCCAGCAGTAATGACCTCCCTCTGCTCTGCAGAGCACCTTCAGCCTGTCCATGGGCTGAGGCAATCTGTCGCTTGTTTGTGCTGGTGACATCTGCTCCCACAGGGACCCAGGAATATGCTTCTGTTCTCTTGCGAAGCTAGCGAATGTGAACTGTGTGTTTTTTTATCATATGCGGGGGTGTGATGGGTGAGACTGAGAAGAGCACTTACAGATATTGCTGTTGTTGAGTGGAAATTATAGTTGGACCAGGATGGCTTTACTGATTTACTGCTTTACTGAATACTGATACTTTCACACTCATTTGAAAAAATAAATATCTGTTTACAAATTAGGATTCCATGCATAATTTAATAATTTCATTTCTTGACATGTGGAAAATTACAATTGCAGTTGCACTGCCCAAAAGTAGCAAGTTAATTTTTGTTGCTACTGTATAATGATAGTAAAGACATCCTTAAACTGTAAGAGATTGTTTGTATGTGAATCTTGTTGAATGCATTAGTTTAAAGATTAGTGTGTTGATACACAACAACACACTACAAACTACTTTAAACTACAAACCAAGTTTTACACACCATTTCAGTAGGAGCGTTTGCATACATTCTTATGAGTTGAATAGGCTACAATAGCAGAAGTCAAGTCAGGCAAGACCAGATATGAGTAGGGATGGGTATCGTTTAGGTTTTATCCGATACCGGTGCCAAACCGGTACTTTTGAAACTGTGCCGGTGCTTAAACGGTGCTCAAACCGGTGCTTAAAGAATGGAGAACACAAAATCGGTCCAAAAACCTCTCATGTTTAACTGTTTTCCACTTTTTCTTTGGTCATTTTAGCCTTTTTGGCCAAGGTGAAGGGAGTATCTGCCATCAAACAAGAAGACAGCAGCATGTCGCTATGATGATGTTTGCTAGTTCACCTTACCTGCATTAATGTAATAACGTGGTTAGCCTACTCAACGTAAATTACACACGAACAACATTAAGCTACTCACGCAGAGAAGAACGGCTGCTGGAATATTTCTAACATTTTGAGTTATTTTCCAGTGTTAGAAAATCAGCACTGCTCAGTGTTAGTCTTTGTTAATCTTCAAAACTGACTAGGTTACTTTTAAACATATAACACTGTCAAAAGTGTTAATTTAACACTCAACAGTGTTGTATTTAACACTCAGAGGTGTGGACCTATATAGACACTCTCTAGTGTTAATTTAACACTGGAGATTTTGTTGTGTATCTTCCCCAAGAATATTTGGCATGCTGACTGGAGCAGCCAGGGAACAAACTACCAAACTCCATCTTTATTTCACATCTTTAGCCTCTACTCTTAAAATTGTGAAAATAGTGACTGAGCTCATAAATTCATTAGGAGATTCTACTAAGGTCATAGAGAATCAAGACTACTTTTCCATATGTCTTTTTGTATCCCCAGAAAACACAATCAAGTAGGGGTGTCTGTCCCTGCAGTAGCCCTAAACTGGTTCTGACTGATATTTTTATGACAATAAAAACCTCCTAATGTATCACTAAAAACAATATCATCTAAAGCAAACACAGTGAGGAGGAGGAAGACACTGAGTTACAATGTTACAACATTTGTCAGGGTGGGAAGGATAAATGTGTTTCGTATTCTTTGCAGAAATAAACACGAGCGTTCTGGACCTGAGAGCAACTCATTCTTAGTCAGCATTCTAACAACTCAACTGCTCCCTGCACAGCACATTCAAGCCGTCGGCTTATTGTGAATCAGAACCAATTATGTCTGATCACTGACGCAAATGGGAACCAAAGAGAGAGAGGGGAAATTGGGAGGAAAAGAGCATTTTAAAGGATCATTTAAGATTGTGACATTAAGCAACGATGCACTGTTAAGTCAAAGGTGGGTAAACCATTATCTCCAGTCAGTATTTATCTTGAATCCTAGACATTTATCAACCCAGGCTTTTCTCAGCAGGTGCGTCATTACACCCAAAACTGGGTCACAAATTGGAAAGCAATCAAAAACAAAGTCCCACAGTTCTGCAGAGTGCAGCCAGGTGCAGATGCAAATTATTGCTTCGACATGCTGGTACAGTCATTTTTCAGAAAAAGATAATACTACTTTTTTTGTAAAACTTTTTATTTTTGAATGGCCTTGTTTATAACATACTACATTTAAAAAAATAACTCTTGCCCTGTAATGGTAATCTCATCCAAATGTAGCAGTCACGCTACATTTGGTATCTCTGCATTATTTGCAAAACCTAAGGTCACCATCTCAACAATTGTCAACATGATAATAGTTGAGCAATTTTTCTTTGTCAGTTACTGTCTTCTAGCATGTTAACTTGCTAACATTTGTTAATTAGCACAGAACTCAAATACAGCTGAGGGTGACTGGAACATCACTGGATCTGCAGGTATTTAGTCAGGAAAGTTAGATAAAGAAGTCAAGACATTACTAGTATTCACTTGTTTTCAAGGTGTCCCCAGGAGGCATTTAACCAGATACCTAAAAGAGCTGGCTCACAGAAGAAAGAGTATCTACTTCAAGATCATTCCAGATGTCTAAGCTTCACACCATGTGTATCCTGGGCTGAGCCCATCAACCCTACACAGGAAACTCATTTTGGCTGCTTGCATTCAAAGGTTACTCTTTCATATGTTACTCTTCACCATAGATGAGCGTTGGGATGTTGAATGACTAGTGGTCCATGGTGGGAGTTACCTCAAGTATTCAGGCTCTGTCGTCTTCACATAGGATGCTTTGGTCAGGCTTAGGGGTTCCAAAGTGCTTTTTCCCCAAAAGTATCCCGACTCTAAATCAGTATTTCTCCTCCCAAACCGAACACAATCAGAGCAATACCCTGCTTTTCCTTTTTGAGTTGCTGGATGCCTTGCCATAACTTCTTTGATGCCTTCCCAAACATCTCTCACACCCAGCTTTTTGCTTCTCTAACTGGTAAAACCCCAGCCCTTTTGCCCCTTTTGTCCAAGCCTACCAAGCCTGGAAAGTATCCTTCTTCAGTTTGACAGGCTCCTTCACCACTGGTATTCACTAGTGTCCCTGTCATCATGACAGGGACTGGAGGGTCAATTACCAGGGTTTTTGAGCCTTTTGCATTGTATTCTGTGTTTGGTGTTCGTTGTTTTGTTTATTGATGTTTGTTTTAGTCAGCATTTTAGTGACTTCAGTTATTGATATAACCCAATCCTAGTTTTAGTGCTTGTTTTGTTCCCTCAGTGTTTCCTGTCAATTCCCCTAGCTTAAGTTCATTTATGTGTCTACATGGTCTCACTCATGATAGTTTCTCTACAGTTTTATTTTTCTTCTTGTCTCATTGTATCATACAGTAGGCAGGACTGGGTCCAGATACAGTTCTTGGGGGACAGAATGTGAACTCAAAACTCAGCTTTTATTTCTGGTAACTCACAGTAGAAAACAAAATATAATGCAGAGGAGGGCAGAAGCCAATTGGAAACACAGGAAACAGAACAGAGGAGGACACAGCATTCAAATTAAACCATGTAATTCTTTTCCCCCCTTTTTTTGTTCATAATATATTTACATATCTTTTATTTACTAGTTTTATGCATTCTGTATTGTTCTATTGTAATAAAATAAAATAAAATAAAAAGAAAAGACTAGGCTTTTTATTTAAAAAAAAAAAACCAAGCTTAAATATTACATTTCACAACTCACTTATGGAACTCTCCTCAGGCGGAGGAGTGTGTTTTTCTCTGCTGCTCTCATGCTGTGTATTTGTTTTTCCCTATTTTGATGACACAAGATTTACAGGAATTTGTATTGGAAGTAGAAAAGGAATACAACAGCATAATGAGTGTTTTTACATGCAAACCCAAAGTTTTATCAGCAGGCTCTGTGTGTTCCAAGTTAATGAAACATTTTGTTCTACAGAGTCATGTTGGGATCATTTGGTACACAAAGTAGATTTGGAACCAATAGATCTGTCTGCCCATATCAAGCTAATGGTGACCTTTTAATAATTCACATGTGGCATGCCAGAAGCAGTCTTGACCAGTTTTTGTTTGTGCTTTAGTTACTGAGCCTTTGATGAGGATTGTCCTCACTTGAACTTAAAATGATTTTGTCAAACAAGCAGAGTCAGACATGCTCCAAGGAAAACCAGTGATGAGTCAGTTCAGCGCCCCACTTAGTTTACTGTAAACTATTATCTCATTCATATTCAGTTACAGAGATGTCAGGCCTTTCACTTGTAACTACTGGCCAATCAGAAGCTAGTTTCATTGATAAGATGTACTATAAGGCATCAGACAACTCTGTTTATCTTCTATCAGCAGTACATGTCATTGTCTTGATACAAAATGCATCCAGCACATGAACAAATGTTCTCAGGAGAACTTGTTATGTGCAATAACCACAGTGATTCTGATATGAAAGAGATCCTTATAAGTAAGGATGGGAATTGATAAGAATTTAGCGATTCCGATCCCATTATCAATTCCCCTATTCATTCTCATTGGCTCTTCTTTGAGAGTCACCATCCTAAGCAGCATATCCAAGACATCACATTCATGCAAAAATAATTACATGCATCAAATGTTTGTGCATGTTGGAGGAATTTCCCCTCTTTCTTGTGATCAGTGTTGGGGTCATTACTCAAAAAAAGTAATTATTACACATATTACACAGAACACTTTTCTTAAAAGTAATGCAATATGTTACTTAATTACAACCAGGAGAAAGACATTTGCTATACTACTTGTTATGTTACTTTCATGTTACTCTGTAAAATGATCTGAAACACACTGACTCATAATTACCTTTTAACAATATAAACCTGAAGCTACAGCCCCACACACCAACACAAATCCCTATCCTAATGAGGACACACATGATCTTTCTCTTAGTCTTTAGGTATGAGCACAAAGCTGATAACACAAAGCAAAGGTGAAAACCAGTGCAAAGAGACTTTAATGTGGTGATTCTGCTTGAAATGGTAGAAATGGAGGCTGCGGTCTGACTGTTCATCAGTTTGTTACCTGTTGAAGTTCAGCGGCGGCTGACTTCACCACAAATGAGGGCTCTTTATTACGATGCTGGGCTGGTGTCAGCATTTATTCAGGTTTAGCATCACTCTGGGTTCTTGGCTTGCTTAGTGTTAGCTTGCTGTCTGTGCTTGCGAAGAGCTGAGTTGTGTTAACAGTATGATGCAGTTGTTTCTGTCCCTGAGCAGTCTTGACTTTATCATCATGCTCATGATCTTTTGTGCAACAGCGTCCATATCCACACTGCAGACTGCGCCAGTATTTTCCTCTTCCAACATCAAACTGAAATCAGCTGACTGTAGCGAGAGTGAAAGAACAATAAGCAGATAGGCAGGCAGACTAACGATTCCAAGGAACTGGACTGCTGGGAACGCATCCCTAATTATAAGTGGACAACTAGATCACATCATGTTTAAAATCACAGAGCTATGGGTTATCTCTAGTACATAATGGTCAAAGGAAGCCATAAATCTGATGCTGGTCTGATCTTGAGCAGTTTAAACTGTAAATGCCAATGTAGTAATAAGGCAAGAACATCCTAATTTTGTGCTAATAGAATAAAGCTCAGTTGTTGTTTTTTTTAATCAGCATTTAAAATGCTCAAATTCTATGTTAAAATTTAATCAAATGACGGTAATGAGTGGATTTGGTTTTGGGAGGAAAAAAGAAAACTTAAACAGCACCATAGCTGAGTTTTCTGAGCTAGGCTGCTGGTTAAATTTGTTATATTAATTCAAAAAAAAAATAAGCTGCAGCATCACCTGGCCCAGCCTCCGTGTCTTCAGCGTCGCCTGGCCCAGCCTCGTTTGGGTCTGCAGCTAAACGGCCACTTTCTAGGCCACTGGCCAGGCGCCATCGCCATCGTGGGCAGCCCCCAGACTCCCTTCACCTGAGTCTCCACCGTTGCCTTCCGCACGGTCGGCCCCCTGAATTGTGTCCACTTCGGCACCGCTGCCTTCCGCGCGGCCGGCTTCCGGACCTCCGTCGCCTGGGTCGCCGCCGTTTCCGACCGCACGGTCGGCCCCCTGAACTGGTTCCACATCGCCGCCGTGGCCTTCCTCGCGGCCGGCCCCCAGACCCCCTTCGCCTGAGTCGCCGCCGTTGCCTTCCGCACGGCTGGCCCCTGGACCAGTGCTGTCGTCATCGTCGTTGCCTTCCTTACGGTCGGCCTCCCGGACTGTTTCCACGTCGCCGCCGTTGCCATCCGCACGGTCGGACCCCTGAACTCTTCTGTTTTGGACTCCATTTTCTTGGGCTATGGTGTATTTCATTTCATTGTTTTTTGGTGCTGGACTTGTGTTTTGTTTTTTGTCTTTCTGGTGCTCCTGTTTTGTTTTGCCTCGGCTGTCTTTCAGGGTCTGAGACAACAGTAACTATCATATGTACACGTTAAATTCAAACAGTATAGACAACAGTTGTGACCTGTCAAGAAACAAATACAAAAAAAGAGAAAACAAAACAAATAAACACATTGTTTACATCCCACAACTTCACAGTTCAACTGGCAATAAAGTACACTGTAAACTCTCTTTTAAACATACTACATTTCTATGGGAGAACATCATGAACTCACTTCGGTTTCTCCACACAGCTACTGTGCTAGGACAAGTACACACACAAGAATCACACAACAAGTGATCTCCCCTCTGAATCAAACAGAAACATACAGAGTTATGCAAAGTGAATAACAGTATAAACTTAACAACTATGAAATCTGTTAGGACACTGTCACTACTCACGCCAACCCGCTCTTCAGTCCCTTTCACAGCACATGACCATTAAACATACACCCGTCGCACGTTAAGAACTCTACAGAAATGGTCACAAACATGGAGTCATCGCTAAAGAAAGTTAACTAATTACAGTCTACTACAACACTGGTGACAATATTTTGCAGTATGCTACACTTTTTAGCACATTTACCCTGTAGCTAGCCACAGAATCTTTTGCAGTCACTCTCCAGTGCTCCCGCTCACAGCGCTCAGTGTGTGACGCAAACTTGAGTGCATGCGTGCTCTGGCTTACGGCGGCTCTTAAAGGGACAGTATACCCCCAAAACGCGAGGTCTAGTCATCACCATGACAACTCTACAAAAGACCTCTGGTAGACAGGCAACCAGTCAAAAACGTAATCCCCTCTTTTTAAACCCTTTCCATGCCTAGTATTAGTTCACTTGGCTACACTTATAAACAGTACATTTGCATAAAGACTGAAACTAGCACCAAAACAGATAATGATGGCAGAGGAAACAGGTGAGAGATATAGTGGGAACAAATCAGGGATAACAAGACAAAGGAAGTTATACTACATACAAAGCACAAGAGACAAATGACCACCAAAGTAACACAGGAAGTAGCTAAACAGGAAACAGGACAACAAATAAATAAATTCCTGGGATCCAAACATGATGCAGAAAGACAACCAAGGAGACAGGGCTAGGGAAACAGCATTGGATCATAAAAGGGAACTAACAAACCTAATCTCATCAATAAGCTAGCAAAAAAACCTACAGGCCACATGAAATACCATTAACATTAATGTGTAAAATCTATGCAAATATTTTGTGCATTAAAAATGTTTTTCAGACTCAATAGCTGTGTCAAAATTCAGGGGCTGCATCCTTCGGAGGACCCGGCTTTTGTGGTCTCCACATGGGCTGGGTTCTCCAAAGACCAAGAAGGCCAGAAGTGCGAGACTGTGAAATTAGACGGTCTAGCCTTCAGATTTGCGTCACCAGCTGTCTCGGTGGAGTTTAATAAACTCAGCCGTCTGCTCCGTGCTATCTAAAATATAACAGGACACTGAGTAAATTCTCTACCATCTCACACTTCTGTTTAATCAGTTTTCTGTTTGACGTTTATTCAGCTGTAATCTCAGCCCAACCGATTTACTCAGGAACAAATAAAACACTGAGAAAAGCCAAACAATATTTTTAAGTTATCTAAGTGACTTATTTATCATGTTTAACCTGAGTAGCGAAAGACGGCGGGGGGTTTGAAAACGATTTGCCGGGAGTCCGGTGTTCTCACGGCGCTAGTGACCTAGCCCCCGGCTAGCTATCGAGCTAGCGGGTAACAGACGTCTCCGAAAACGTCGGAGCGCTTTTGAAAATATGTGGTGTCCTGATAAACTGAGCAGATATTTGAGGTTTACACAGCTACATTCTCGCCTGAAAATTGTAAAAGTTTATTTTGTGACCCAGAAAGAGTAATATTAAAACTAGTAGCTGCCGCCTTGTTGGAAACTGGAATTGGCTGGGCCGGCTATGAATTCTGGGATAGGTTGGCCACAAAGGATACACCCGACCCATCCATCAAATCTGGAGAAAAGGAGGACGCATTTATCGGCAGCATTTGGAGGAGTCTTTGAATTTGGACAGCCTTCGTCACGTCGCTGTGACATAATCAGCCTACAATTTGGACACAGCTAATGACTAAAAAATGGGCTGTGAGGTCAGTTTAACCAGTTTAACCAGAACAAAAGATATTTGTGACATCAGCAAATAATGTAAATAATATAAATAATATGAAATTGCTGCCTGTTTCTTAATTAGCTCATCAGCTGATTCAGTTCACCCCTCTGATACTATACCTTTCCAAATTGTTGAATAGTGATTTATGATCAACAATGTCAAAAGTTTCTTAGATCTATAAATAGTTTTGCTTGCATACCTTTTTTTTTTTTTTTTGCCTCAACAGTGTTACATTTCAGCAATTAATTCCAGTGAAAGCTGAAGGTTTTGTAAATCCTTCCTGGCTGACAGTGAGCAGTTGTTGTTTTTTTTTAATTAAGTCATCTTATATGACTCTTTTCCAGTATCTTGGCTCTCTCTCAATACAGAGTGAAATAAAAAAAAGAGGCCTGTAATTGTAAAATGATGTCTGTAACCTGCTTTATATAAAAGTATTACTTTTACTATTTCGATTTTTGTTTGGAAATGTTCTTGGGTATAACGATTGGGTATTTGAGCTACTGGCCTTTTCTGTCAGTTCAAACCAGTGTGGTCAGTCTTCTCTAACTTCTGGGATTAATAAAGCATTTTCACCTAGTGAACTGCCACTCACTAGATATTTCCACTTTACTTTTCTGAACCATTCTCTCCCTAGACATGGTTGTGTGGGAAAGTCCCAGTAGATCAGCAATTACCCACATACTCATCAGCAGTTTCTGAAATACTCAAGTCTGTCTGGCATTGATCTTCTCCATTTTGATGCATGGTTTGATATTTCCATTAATGAACTGCTGAGCAAATGAACCTAATACAGTCGCTGGTGCGTGCGTGTTTGTGTGTGTGTGTGTGTGTGTGTGTGTGTGCGCGCATGTGTGTGTGTGTGTGCATGTGTGTGTGTGTGTGTGTTTCACGGGCTAAAAAACAGGTGGATGCAACTGTTTTTGTGAATCTGCACTATATAAATGAAACTGAATTAAATAAATTGCTTTAAAATAATTTGAAAACATAGATTTCAGGGAGTTTTTTCTGGATCGTATTAGTAGTATTTTCAATTATTTTCACTCCTTAAATACAAAAGTGATGAACAATAGCTTGAATTGTATCAGCAGACATAAGAAATCATTTTTCTATGAGAATTATACAATCAATTAGTTTTCTATGAGGGAAATCTTCTCTTCCTTTGGTTTAAGTATGCATTCAGTTCTGCTGGGGAAATTAAACATTCTGGGCTCATTTACAACCACTATTAGCTACAGCATCATCATCATTATTATTCCCCCAACAAGACAGCCAGAAGTAGAACAGATGAGTCAACAGAACACTCACACATCTGGTGATAGGGTTACATCACCACACTGCATCATTTGCTCTTAAGTAATATGGGCTTGCTGATTTCAGAAATAATACCCGTTTTGCTCTACCAGCTGTAAACATGATGTGTCCAGATGTTTTTTGCTATACCTGTGAATGCTTTTCTACATCCAAGCAGCAGCAAAACAAAACACATTTGCTCATTTTGTTATGAAATTGGGCAACCAAGATAACCCATAATACAGGGCGATCGTGGCTCAAGAGTTGGGTGTTTGTCTTGTAATTGGAAGGTTGCCGGTTCGAGCCCCGACTCGGACAGTCTCGGTCGTTGTGTCCTTGGGCAAGACACTTCACCTACTGCCTACTGGTGATGGCCAGAGGGGCTGATGGCCATCACCAGTAGGCAGCCTCGCTTCTGTCAGTCTGCCCAAGGCAGCTGTGGCTACAACTGTAGCTGCCTTCACCAGTGTATGAATGTGGGAGTGAATGAATAGTGGAATTGTAAAGCGCTTTGAGGGGTCCTGAAAAGCGCTATATAAATGCAATCCATTATTATTATAAGTTTCCTGAATTCATCTAAAGCATGGACTAAGAGAAAGAGCTTGGGCTCTTGGGTATTTCAGTGGTATTGAGGGAGCCACAGAATAACATTGATGACACTTCATGTCACTATTTAGTCAGTATTTCTGGATACAGTTCCAGAAGTGAAGTAGTGAAATGCTACCTTTTCCTGGCTTAGCTGATGATAGCGAACAGTCTGATGATGTTTTATCTCCAGATGCACAATGTGCTAGTGATCAGGACTTTGAAGAGCCATCTTCAATTGGTTCTGGGGCCCCCAATAATTTACTCAGCCAGAGTTAAAAGACTTAGTATTAGATTTAGGTCTGCCAAAGGAAGCACCTGAGTTGCGCCAGTCTAGGCTCAGTAAGAAAACCCTCCTGCCTTCAGGAACCAGATTTTCTTTTTATAGGCATCACAAGAAGGATCTTTTTCCATTCATTGCAGTGGGTCATGCCTTTGTCTTTTGAGTTGGTATTAAAGGTGTTTTTGATGCAATGGTTTGTGTGTACCAGTCAGCTCCAAAGCCAGCCATTGACCTCTGGGTGCACTATTTACTACAATGGAGTTTTTTCTTTTATCATCTTGTTTTTTCGGAGGCCTACTGTGTACCCAGTGTAATTCTGTGGTTATTTTTTTTTTTTTTTTTGGTGATCTGTGTTGGGATATTCTGTTTTAGATGGGCAGTTTGGTAGGGACTCTCTGTCATTTTCTTTAAACTAGTTTTCTCCTAGTTAGGGCATTGTACTTTTGCTTTGTGGGATAAGAATTGTTTTTATTTTTTTAATCAGACAATGCTGAGCTGGATTTTGTTCAGTAGATTGAAGTTGTGGGTTGCTAGATTTACTTTATAGATTTTTTGTCACGCCTTGTACCTCTTAGACTTCCACACTAAGGGTTTTAACGTAAGCGGGGGCTTATCCGAGATTGTTCTATTGAACATGGCAGAGTTTAATTTGGGGAATTTTGTTGTGAATCCTACCAAAGAACAGGTTAATGTTTGTGGGAAGGCTGATTTCTGTGCAATTGCTGCTCATTATAAAATTCTAATGTTGACATAATTGCCCAAAAGAGAACTTAAATCTGTTGTGTTAAAGGGGTTGACTGAAAAAGGAGTGCTCTCTCTGGAAAGGGAAAATGAAGAAGCTGCTACCACCTCTGCTGCAGAAGGTCCTGCTCATCCTGATGTTACATCTGGGGATAGGATGAGTACACCCATTGTTGCCAAACCTGATGAGATAAAGCTACCTTCTGCTCTTCCTCGGTTTGAGCCATTTTATTCTGAAACCAGCAATCCATCTGCTGGAGCACGCCTAAAGGTACGCCTGTGTAACCCATGGTTATTTTATTGCCAATGGTATTTTATTTTAACATTTATTTTAATGTTACTGTTTTGTTAAGTGTTGAGTTTTCCCATGTACCGTAAATACACCATAGCACTGCTCAAGGTGCGCAAAGCTGTTGTGGAACCTTCAGTCCTGTAACGTGCTGAGCCACGGAGTTAATATATTCTGTGAAGAATATCCTGGCTGTTGGTTTTTTTTATGCGGTAGAAATCTGCTGTTAAGGACCGAGTAGTGCCATCTAAGTACTGGATGCCATTGGAGATGCCTAGAAGGATGCTCTCAGTCTTAAGGCCACCTGTTTCCTTGGAATAACTTTGAACTCTTACCAAATACTGAATATTGAGTGCACTCACCTGAAATGGACAGCGTACCAAACACATTTATGGACACTTAAAGCGATGATATTGGACATTGTTGAAGGTAACATCATTGAGGTGAACTAAATGTTGAAATGGTTTAAATGTTTTGTTCATGTCTATGTTTTTGAACAATTTAAATGTTGAATACACTTAAATGACTTTTTCCCTTTAAGTTGTTCTCAGTGTCTCATTTTGAGTGGAGGTTTTTTCTTTAAGTTGAGTTACCACTGCCAGTCTCCATATGATCCTAACTGAACCCAACAAGAGTATCCAGATATTTTTTTTTTTTACTTGACTTTGGATGACAGATAACTGTTTATTTGATTATTCGGACTACTCAGTTAAAAAGCGTGACACTTAGTATGTGTAGGACAAGATGGAATGAAACTCAAGTGTTGACAGCTTGAAGCTGAAACTGCAATTAGAATGCAACAGTTGGAGTTAGAGTCTGAAAAGGTCTGCACTGAGCCGTCTCCTCTGACTGTGGAGGATTGTCAAGGTTCTACTCATCCTCCCGCTGTGCCCTGTCCTTATGTCTCTGCTTCAGCCTTCGATGTGAGCAAGAACATAACCCTAGTTCCTCCATTTTGAGAAACTGAGGTTGAAGCTTATTTCAGGGCATTTAAATGCATTGCTGTGGCTCTGCTCTTGATTACAGGTGTTTGGTCCCTCTTTCTACAATGCAAATTGGTTGGTAAAACACAAGAAATCTGTGCAGCTCTTTCAGTTTAAGATTCTCTGGTGTAT